TGTGTGTGTGCCAGTCCTGGGGCTTGAACTCAGGTTGGGTACTATCCCTGAGCTTTTTTTGCTCAAGGCTAGCACCACTTAAGCCACAGCTCCATTTCCAGCTTTTTTCTTTCCTTTTCTTTTTTGGGTTAATTGGGAATAAAAGTCTCATGGATAATTTTCTGCCTAGGCTAGCTTCAAACTGTGATCCTCAGATCTCAGTCTCCGAGTAGCTAGGATTGTGAGCCACTGGCATCCAGCACAAACAATATTTTAAAAAGAACAAGTAACCATTCTATTTAAAAATCTTCCAAGCACTTCATTAAACCTCAAATGCCCTATGTGAGCTCTTGCTCTATAGACAGTCTTCAGGAGGGTGGGACACTCGGCAAGTACCTCCTTGAACATTTCTGTAATTTGGCAGCTGTTGCTCCTCTCCATCTTTGCCAAAAATTCCTCAGAGCCAAGAGCAGTTGCCAAATGGAGTCAAAATGCTGCTGGCAATCAGGAATTGGATTTGCTACAAATGGAAGTGTTCCAGCCCTCCAAATCTGCCAACTTCATTGTTAGCGGAGAGTGATAAATGGATAGAGTGCATCTGCCCATGTGAGTTGACAAAGATCCAAACAGCTTGAAAAATGACAGGAAGCCAGAATTCTCTGACTAAGTCTGAGATGGTGTGTATCAGCCTAGACACAAACCGCAGAAACAAAGCAATATATGTAAAGAGACATTTTCTAGTTTTTTTTTTGTTTTTGTTTTTACCATGTAGGCAACAGTAACAGACCTTTCATTTGATTGGCTTAGCTATGACCTATTCAAAACTATTAGGTAGAAAGCAATCAGTGTTGGGCACAGAGTGAGGAATCCAGAAATATTATGCCATCAACCAAGTTCACTTGCGGTTTTCTGATGATGCTTAGGTATTTTTCTTCCTTGAATCCTGTCCCATTCCTTTCTAATTTGGTGTAGGCCAAGTTATTGAAGGAAACAAAGCCCTCAACTATCAGCTAATAAGAGAAAACAGAAGTTGCCCCCAGAGCTTACAAATGCTTAAGGAAAATAGTAAATAATCTGTATAGTTTTCATAGCAAGCAAAAATATAAACAAAGAGTGACCTGGAACCCGGATATGCACCTGTAGGCACTGTTAATTTGGGTTGTTACCTTCTATTTCCTCTTTTCTGCTTCTTTTTCGGCTCTACTTTTCTCTGTGAGAAAATGTACAAGGTTGAGGGTTATCTCAGAGGTAGAGAGAACACTTGCCTACTATGCCAAGCACAGAACAAAACACAAATAAGAACACTGAATAAAGACACACAAGTGTGTGTGTGTGCGTGTGTGTATGTGCATGTGTTTAAGTTACCAAGGACTTCCTAATCTTTACACCTCGTGGTTATTTCTTAGTATTAATCATACCGGACTGGTGGGCAGAATTTGACATCAAAATTCCTTTCCTTTGAAACAGTTTCTTCATTTGGATCCTAAGACCTCATAATACTCTCTAATTTTGTCTTTCTGCATAATTGAATTGATCTTTTCGTTTATTTATGTTTGCCTTTCTGAATCAGGATCTCACTATGTAACCCAGGATGGCCTTGGAGTCACAGTTCTCCTGCCTCAGTATGCCCAAGTGCTGGGAGTACAGGCATGTACCACCATACCTAGTTGATCCTTCTTTCATATTGTATTATTTTTATGTAGTTGCACAATGGAGTTGCCATTTAACAAAGCAGTTTATGAACACAAATAGATCTCAATCCATGTCCCCTCCTTTCCTGTTATCCTTTCTCGAAGCTCAATCCTTGGACTTCTTGGATCCACTTACTTGGGACTTTCTAGTTTCAAGGTTCTGAATATCAACTACCTGTTGAGGACTCCCAAGTTCCTGCTTTTATTTTTGCTTGAGGTTCAGATTCATATCTCTCTACTGCCAATTCTGTTTGGAAATAAATAGGCATCTTATGTCACCCAGAACAGAACCACTCCCCACTACAAGAAAAAAAATCTTTGCTACTAATTAAACAGTAATGACTTAGGCCAAAACTTTGGCGCTATCCTCATTCTTTTTTCTCTTCTACCCCATATACACTCAACCAGCTGTCCCTCAAAATATATTTGAAATCTAGCCATATCTCACTATGCCCTCTATTACTACAATGGTCCAAACCATTGTGGTCTTTTGCCTGAACTACTCTGAGCCTTCTCCCTTTTGCTTTTGTCTTTTCCCATACTGAGCATTCCTTCTAAAACTAAAGCCAGGCACATCATTGTTATCAAAACACTTAAGTGGCCTCCCAGGTCACCCAGACTATAAAGCCAAGTCTTTACAATGGTCTGCTAAACATTCTGAGTACCTTACTACTTTTAATTCAAAATATAAATATAGAAGGCAGTGCAGTGGTTGGTTAAGAGCATGTAGCAGAGGGTCAGACTGTCTATGTTCAAAGCCTGGCTCTATTTATTAGCTGTGTAACGTTGGGCAAGATACGTAACAACTCTGTGCCTAATTACCCTCATCTGTAATATAATGCCTATGACAGGGTTATTGTGAGAATTGATGAGTTACTATTTGTAACATGCTTACAAGTAGCTGAGTATAGTAAATATTGTAAAAATTTAGAAATGATATAACTCATTTTATGCTATTAATTAATATTTCCTCACAAATTCTGCATGTGCAAAATATGACACCAAAATGGTCCCATTCAGAGGAATTTAAATATATTCAAACATCTTGCAAAGCAAAAGTTGATTTTTAAATGTTTTGACTAAACAAATTTAAAATGGAATATCATTTTGTTTTTTAAAAATGTATTTATTTTTATTGTGAGAATACCGTACAGAGGGGTTACAATTACATGGGCAAGATAACGAGTACATTTCTTATTAAGCATTGTTGCCTCCTCATTGTTTTCCCTTCCCATCCCTTCCCATCCTCCCCTCCCCCAAAGTTGTTAAGTTGTTTTTCGACATAACGACTTGTACATCTCATTGTTGATCTCAAGGTTAGAATGGTTAATATACTATGATTTACACTAGAGTTAGAATCATCACTGTAACATGATTTATACTTTTAAATATTTTGGTGCTTTTTAAGCATCCAAATGTTGGGCTGCTTAAATATTCATATCTCATATTCATATCTCCTATCTCTCTCTTTCCCCCTCCCTCTCCCTGTCCCTCTTTCTCCCTTCTCCCTTTTCCTCGTTCCTGGTCCTGGGGCCCGAGCTCAGGGGCTGGGTGCTGTCTCTGAGCTTTTCTTTCTCAAGGCTAGTACTCTACTACTGGCTTTTTTCTCCCTGATTAACTGGAGATAAGAATCTCAGTGACTTTCCTGTCCAGATGGTTTTGAACTGAGATCCTTACATCTCAGCATCTGGAGTGGGTAGGATTACAGGTATGAAAGCCGCTGATGCCCAGCTATTCATGTACTTCTTAAACAGTAATACTTCATTTCCTAAAACATATGTACTTTGTTCAGTTTGCCATGTAGATTGATTTTTAAGATAAATCTTATGTTTCTGCACTAATTCTGGGCTTTTATTACTGAATTAACATGAAATAGTCTATCTAAACCAGTGCAATAAACAGAAGGTTATGGTACCTTTATCCATCTTTGATGGGACAATAGGAAGAAGAATCATATGGAATTTCTAGCTGGGAGTCGTAAAACTGACTTTGTAGCAGAAAAATAGGCAGCACAGACCCATTTTGAATATGATAGCACAGAGCAATCTTTTTTTTTTTTTGGGTCCAGTCGTGGGGCCTGAACTCTGGGTCTGGGCGCTGTCCCTCGGCTCTTCAGCTCAAGGCTAGCGCTCTACCACTTGAGCCACAGCGCCACTTCCGGCTTTTTCTTTTTGCTTATGTGGTGCTGAGGAATCGAACCCAGGGCCTTGAGCATGCAAGGCAGGCGCTCTACCACTGAGCCACCTTCCCAGCCCCAGCACAGAGCAATTTTGAATATGATTTTAAGCATTACTTAAACTGTTTCTAGGGGGGACTGAAAGAAAGCCACTAGCCAGTCTATGCAGCTGACTTCTTACATCCATTATGCAGGCTCCCTCTTATACCTATTACTGAAGAATAAAAAGCCCCTCGAGACACATGAATGCCTTTCAGAGCCTGCTTTATGATCACAGAGGAGAAAGGGCCTTACCTTCCTTCACACTACACAATATTTCAAATTTTGAAAAGAGGCCAAGTACACATTTGGAAATATAGAAGTATTTGTTTAGAAACACAGTAGGAGGTTAAGACCTATGGAAGATTTGTGAAGGGGTCATATTGTTTGTTTAGGGGAATATTAGTTGGATTTTTTCTTTTATGCTTGAATGTTACTTTTAGAATATGTGGCATGAAGGCTGGGAAGGTGGCTCAGTGGTAAAGCGCTTGCCTTGCATGCCTGAGGCCCTGGGTTCGATTCCTCAGCACCACATAAGCAAAAAGAAAAAAGCCAGAAGTGGCGCTGTGGCTCAAGTGGTAGAGCGCTAGCCTTGAGCTGAAGAGCTGAGGGACAGCGCCCAGGCCCAGAGTTCAGGCCCCACGACTGGACCCAAAAAAAAAGAAATTAAAAAAAAAAAGAATATGTGGCATGATGTTCTGTAATTTTGGAAAACTCTTCTGGTTCAAAATGGAATTTGAGTGTAAACTCGACCTGATGCTATCTCATAAAGAGACCTGTATGGTGGGGTAGGCTACTGACCAGCTTCTACGTGAACATGAACTCATACATGTATTTGCCAGTAGTGAAATGTCTCAGGCTCAACATCTGTGCCATTACTGAGTATTCTTTTGAGGCTAGGCGGAGGGGGATAACCTAATTATTTCTGCATATTAATAACATGGCATATCATTTAATGAAAACTTCCTTCTTAGTTATGTCCCCTCCTGTGAAGCTTCTCATTGTGCAGTGTTGGCACAAAATACAGGATGTATAAATGAATCCTGACTTTCTAAAATGTCATTGTTGTTTTGTCAAATAACACGTTTCATCACTTTTTTTTTTAATTTTAAAAGAAAATTGGCCCTGAAACATCATCCAGATAAGAATCCAGATGATCCGGCTGCTGCTGAAAAGTTTAAAGAAATCAACAATGCCCACACAATACTCACTGACACGACGAAGAGAAACATATACGACAAATACGGATCTCTAGGACTCTATGTGGCTGAACAATTTGGAGACGAAAATGTTAATACCTACTTCATGCTATCAAGCTGGTGGGCAAAGGTACATCGCAATTTTTTTCCTCATAACCAGTTTCCTGGAAGATTATTATTTTATTCAATCTCTAATCCTCCTCCTCCTCCCCCTTTTCCCCTAGGGCCTCCTGTATGCTAGACAACTACTACTGAGCTGTATATCCTACCCTTTATTCAGTTTCTGTAGACATTATCAAAGCAAGACCAACCTTATTATCATTACACTCTTGAAAAATAAAACAAGACATCCCTTCCACCAAAAATGGTGGATCATTTGTGCTTTCACTCATCCGTTAATTATAAAATCCAAAATGACTTACAGTACTTCTAGACATTAATTATATTTGAGTTTGGAGCTGCAGGTTAATTCTGATTGCTCTCCCTTTCCCCCATAGTGACTAATTAAGAGCTGACTCACTGCTCAAAACCCAAAATAATTTATTAGCCTGACAACAGTTTAATAAGTTATTATGGGACAAATTTAGCTGTGGACTATCTATAGGGTAGGCGACATCAGCAAACAGTACGTAGGAGAATGAGTGGCAATTATGTCATAGGCTCTCTGGGGCTGTTGTTCGTAGTGGAGAAGGAAATGGATGTGGGGGGGGGGGAGGATTAAGAAGTGGAGAGCAATGAGTTGGGGAAGGAATGTCTGTTCCAGAGAAAGGCAGCATTTTAAAGGACTAAGTGCAACCAGAATTGAATTTTGTAGAGCAAATTTTGTTTGATTTCCTGGAAATCTCTACTATATTTGTTTATGATTTTTACTGCCTTTATCTTCTGGTGAAAGTATATTTACATATAGACCACACATAGTCCATATATTGCCTATATATTTTGCCGACAGTTTACATGTACTTAAGTTGTCACATATCCTAACAATTTTTTTTGGTCAGTCAGTTATGGGGCTTGAACTCTGGGCCTGGGCACTGTCCCTAACCTAAGGCTTTTTGTGCTCAAGGCTAGCCTTTTACCGCTTGAGCCACAGTGCCACTTCTGCTTTTTGAATGGTTAATTGGAGATGAGTCTCACAGAGACTTTTTTCTGCCCAGGCTGGCTTCAAGCTATGATCCTCAGATCTTAGCCTCCTGAGCAGCTAGGATTACAAATGTAAGCCACCGGTGCTTGGCTTTTAATAATTTTTAAACGCAAAAATCTCCATACACACACAGAAGGCATGTTTCATGTCCAGCAGTATTTTGATGGCGATTTCTTCTTCAGAATTTTGCTAAATTGAGGTATATTCGGGAAGAGAGGGGATTATGTTCTTGTATATAAGCAGAGAGCGAAAGTGTATGTCCTAAAGTGCCACTTGCCTTCTAGAATCTTGTCTCAGAGTTTTCTTGGGGTGGGGCAGATACCTGGGATTCCCATTGAAACAAGTTTCTGCTGAGTGGATTGGGAGTTTAGAATGGGTGTGCTTACTGCTAATGTAATGTCTGAGGACAGTGAGGACTTCGGAGGGTTTGCATGGGAACCTCCCCTCCAGGCAGGACACTCCACGTCTTCAGTCCCAGACACTCACACAGGTGCACCTGACTGAATATTGCATCCTATCTGCATCAAGATGAAAATAGGCTTCCTTGTCAAGAATTTGATGAAATTGGCCAAAACTCCTATAAGACAAAGAAGATCTATTCAGTAGTAGAGAGATAAAGGAAACCATTGCTGAATGTTCTCTTTAAAAGTAAGGCTAGAGCAAGGCATGGTGATGCATGCCTTAGGGAGGCCAAGGCAGGAGAATAGAGAATGTGAGACCAGCCTGAGATATATAATGAGACCTTGTCTTAAAACAAAGAGGAAAAAAAGAGCTCAAAGAATACATCTTCTCTTTTGCTTGTGCTACGGTGCCCATCAGAATAGCCTGACACATCAGAGTAATGTATTTAGTATACACCTTAGGAATGAAAATGTATATCAAAAATGTATATTTTTGTCTATCCAACAAGAATGATGCCCTGAATTCAAGTTCTGCCAAAAATTAATTTTAAAAAATCAGATGTCTACTTAGTCTAAGCATGACAAGGGATAAAGTAAAGTGCTATCCCACAAAAGGCAAGCAGTCTTGTTCAAATAATTAAGTGACAAAACATTGTATGAATGGAGAAGATATCCTCAATGGAGAGACTAGTGTGACAATTGCATAATGAAAACAAGTAGGATAAACGCAGGGAGGGAGAGAGGGAAGAGTGCCTTGAGGCTGATGTTCACAGGAGAGCCTATGTGAGGATGGGTGAGGACTGCTTCCAGTTTTGCTTTCAGAGTGATTTACCCAAGATGGTGAAAATGTACAGCATAGTAAAGAGGGTTGCTATGAGGCCGAGGCCATAGCTTTCCCCTTGAAGTTGGCTCAACCCCATACTGGGTCTGGAATAGACAGAGTCCTCAGCAAGCAAGCCGGATGGGGGAGGTGAATGTCAGAGTCCCACCTCTCACTGAAGAAGCATGTATGCAAATGGATGAACTTCATTTTTGATGTCCTTTGCTCCAAAGAGTAACATCTGGCTTAAGTTCTAGATAAAAGGGTTGGATTTTATCTTAAATAAAAATCTGGATTCTAGTCACAAATGTACAAACTACTTCTATATTTCAAGTAGTATATTTTAAATAAAATTCTAAATTGGTTTTCTTACTTAGCAAAAGAAAGGGTTCTTTATGGTTTCACATCAAAAAAGCCTCGAGAATTTTAATTTTTCTCTCTTTTTTCTTTTTCTTTTTTTTTTAAAATGGGAAGCTGGGCACTGGTGGCTCAAGCCTGTAATCCTAGCTACTCAGGAGGCTGAGATCTGAGGATCACGGTTCAAAACCAGCCTGGGCAGGAAAGTCTGTGAGACTCCCATCTCCAATAAATCACTCAGAAAACCGGAAGTATAAGATGATGTTAAGTGAAATGAACCCCAAGATAGGGACACAAGTGGTTTTTTCTTTCTTGCTATTGTTTCTAACCTATTTATAATGCACCCTGTGATTTTTTTTTTGTTGCTTTGTATGTTCCTCCCCATGGTATAACCCCTGTTCACTGTATTTTGATGTTGGTCTAATTTGTGCAGGGGAAGGGAAAAAACAAAATGCTTAAATAGGGATACAAGTTGACCCATTATAACAACGAGGTGTACAAGACACTATGTGGAAAAACCAACTTTACAATTTAGGTAGGGAGGTGGGGAGTGTAGTTGCGGAGGCGGGAGGGAAGGGATGGTAGAGGAAAAACAAAGGAGGAGGCAACAACACTTGATAGGAGATGTACTCATTACCTTGCTCATGTAACTATAACCCCTCTGTACAGTATTTTTACAATAAAAACTTATTTTTTAAAAAAAAACGGAAGTGGCCCTGTGGCTCAAATGGTAGAATGCTTACCTTGAGCTGAAGAGCTCAGGGACAGCACCCAGGCCCGAAGTTCAAGCCTCATGACTGACAAAAAAAAGGGGGGGGGGAATGGGGAAGCCCTTTTGTATGTTTGTGGGGAAATCCTTATTCTGTTGCTTATATTTGTTATTATATATTATTGCTTATATTTATAAATTCAATAGATAATTAAGAGTCTACAGCTTACTTACTACTAAGTTCTGAGCACAAGGGATTAGAAGATTGACTATAGTAATATACAATCATCCAGCCTTCAAGATGCTCACAACCTAGTACAATGAGACAGATTATAAGCTGATCTATGTTCTAAAGTGTCAACAGAAGAGTGTCACTGTGGAGATTGGTGTGACATACAATGAGGCACAAAATAGTGAATAACAGAGCAGGATCAAAAAGGCACTGCAGATTTTTGAGCTAAGTCTTAGACAGCAGATGGATTATTTATTAGGTGGCTGGGGACTGGAAGATGGGTGTCTGGCAGAATCCATATGGAGAGCCCAGCAATCAAGAGTACTGGTGGGAGCCAAAACACCCTTATCAAGAGCTAGGCTGAACAAGTTTACACTCCCACTAACAGTGCAGTAGCTCCCTTTTGGCCATCTCCCCTCCAGCATCTGTTGTTATTAGAGTTCTTGATTATAGCCATTCTAACTGGGGTGAGGTGGAATCTCAATGCTGTTTTGATGTGCATTTCTTTTATGGCCAGAGATGTTGAACATTTCTTCATGTGTCTATTGGCCATTCTTTTTTTATTTTTTTATTTTTATTGTGTAAATACCGTACAGAGGGGTTACAATTACCTGGGCAAGGTAATGAGTCCATTTCTTATCAAGCATTGTTGCCTCCTCCTTTGTTTCTCCTTCCCATCCCTTCCTATCTCGCCCCTCCCCTACCCTAGCCAAAGTATTGGTCATTCTTATTTCCTCTTCAGAGAAGTCTTTAGCCCACTTATTAATGGAGTGGTTGTTTCTTTGAGGATTTGTTTTTTGTGGGGGGGGGGATTTAATTGTTTGAGCTCTAAGTATATTCTAGATATGAGGTTCTTGTCTGTTGTTTGGCTAGTGAAGATCTTCTCCCAGTCCATGGGCTTTTTTTTTTTTTTGGTCCGGTCGTGGGGTCTGACTCTGGGCCTGGGCACTGTCCCTCAGCAATTCAGCTCAAGGCTAGCGCTCTACCACTTGAGCCACAGCACCACTTCCGGCCTTTTATTTTTTGCTTATGTGGTGCTGAGGAATCGAACCCAGGGCCTTAGGCATGCAAGGCAAGTGCTCTACCACTGAGCCACCTTCCCAGCCCAAGTCCATAGGACTTCTATTGGTCTTGCTAGCTATGTCCTTTACCATGCAGAAGCTCTGCAGTTTAATGCAATCCCAGTTATCTAATCTTTCTTTGATTTGTTATGATCCTAGGCCTTTATTAAGAAAATTTCGGCCTTTGCTAAAGAGCCTCAGAGTCTCTCCTGTTCCTTCCTGTAATGTTTTCAGGGTGTTGTCACTGGTATTGCATATATGTTTATTTGAATTAGGGAAGGGAAGGGGAAACGACAGAGTGCTGAGATAAAAGACAAGGGGGAACCAATGCAATAGCAACATACACATGACAATATGTTGGAAATGAGCTGTACAACTTGTGAGGGGGTTGGAGGGCGGAAAGTAGGAGAAAAATGAGGAAGGGGTAACAAGTTTGTCAATAAATGTACCTATTACCTTACTTAAGTAACTGTAACCCCTCTGTACCTCACCTTGACAATAAAAAAAATAAAAAATTTTAAAAAGAGCTCAGCTGTACCTGAGAAGTAGGAGGATTGCTGCATGGTTTTAGGAGAACTAGTATTTCAGCAAGCTTCCTCCAGTAGCTATGGGTGTGGATACATAGAGGGCAGGAATGGAGGCAGGGAGGCCAGTTAGGAGGCTGCTGGAGTGTCCAGACTAGAGATACAAGGAGCTGTCCTAAAGCTCTCACGACTGGCAGAGAGGCAATGGGGAGAATGGATGCAAAGATGATGAGGAGAGATGCTACAGGGCTTGGTGACTAACAGAAATGTGGAGATGGGGGAGCTAGGCACCAGAGGCCCCTTCTTCGGTGGGAGTGAGTCTGTTCTGTAGAGCAATGCCAGACCAGATCCTCTAACTTTTGTGAAATGATTTGTTGGGTATGGGCTGGCTTTGCTCTTAGTAAAGCCAGAATTTATTACTTACTTCCTCTGGATCTAATGTGCCCTGGACTTTATGAGGAAAATTCTTTTCCATTTTTTTTCCTTTCCTGTTCCTTTCTCTTTTGTGTTTGTTTTGCTTTGCTTTGCTTTGTTTGTTGTTTGTATGTTTTGAGACAGGGCTTTTATTTGTGTATCCCAGGCTGGTCTGAAATCCATTATGCAACCCAGACTGGTCTCCAACTTGGGGTTCTCCCATCTTAGCTTCATGAACACTGGGCAACCACAGAAAGGTCAGGAAAATTATTTTCAAGAAGCTGGAAAGAGTTCCTACAGGGTGTTAAGGGCGAGGATGGGGTGTACACCTGATATCTTCAAGTATCTGGAGGAGCACATGTGCAGGCTTGATTTCTGAGACTTATGCCCTTTCTCATCATCCATTTTGCTTTGCTTCTGTCTTCCCAGACCCTGTTCATCATCATTGGCCTCTTGACGGGCTGCTATTTTTGTTGTTGCCTGTGTTGCTGCTGTAACTGTTGTTGTGGACGGTGCCGGCCCAAATCATCAACGTCAGAAGAGGACTTTTATGTGTCACCGGAGGACCTGGAAGAACAGATCAAGACTGACATGGAAAAAGGTGGGGCAAGATAGAGCAGAGGAAGAGGGTGTCCCTTCATAGATCTGACTAAGTGCTAGGTCCCACTAACGATACAGAACTCCAGCAACCAAATGGAAGAATCTCAATGGCTGTCAGCTGTGCTAGCACTTTGGAGGAAGTTAAAGAAATGGCTATGTCAGCATAGAGAAAAGCTAAATGTGACACTATTCATCTCCTTATAATAATGAGGTCTGGGTTCAGGGGGGGCTTGGGTGACACATCCATGGCCTTAGAACCAAGGTGGAAATTTCTTTCAAGAATGCGTTTCTATTTGTTCTTTGGAGATCTCTATTCAAATAGAAAAGAATAGTTGGGTTTGGTGGTGTGTGGTTAACATGCCAGCACTCAGCAAGTTAAGACAGAATGACCATGATTTCAAGGCGAGCTTGGTTACACACATAATTCCAGACTGCTTTAGGCTCTTTAGTGCAAGGAGAGAAAGAGAAGAATGATTGGGGAGGGAAAGGGAGGAGAGAGGAGGAGAGGAAAGAGAGGAGAGGGGAGGAAAAAGGAGAGGAAAACATAAAACTCTTATCAACCATTGACTTCTTTTTCTTTGGTTGACTAGATGTTGATTTGGGGAATAGAGCTGGACTAGGGCACTCTTCCTCTGAAATATAGTTACTTTCTCAGTGTACACACTCAGGGTTAGCCTCAAAGTGGCATCAACAATGGGATCATTTTTTTTTCTTTTTCTTTTTCTTTTTGTCGGTCATGGGGCTTGAACTCTGGGCTTGGGTGCTATCCCTGAGCTCTTCGGCTCAAGGTGAGCACTAAACCACTTGAGCAACAGCACCACTTCCAGTTTTCTAGTATTTTATTGGAGATAAGAGTCTCATGGACTTTCCTGCCCGGGCTGGCTTTGAACCATGATCCTCAGATCTCAGACTCCTGAGTAGTTAGGATTACAGGCGTGAGCCACTGGTGCCTAGCGGGATCATTTTTTTAAAAATATTATTATTATTATTAATTTTTATTTTTTGCTGGTCATGGGGCCTGAACTCTGGGCCTGAGCACTGTCCCTTAGCTCTTCAGCTCAAGGCTAGTGCTCTACACATGAGCCACAGTGCCACTTTCAGTTTTTTCTTCTTATGTGTTGCTGAGGAAATGAATCCAAGGCCTCATGCATGCAAGGCAAGCACTCTACCACTGAGCCACCTTCCCAGTCCCCGGGATCATTTCTTTACTGACACAGCACCATATACCTCCATGCACCCAGGGCCATGAACTTCGAATATTCAAAGTTTATTCTACCCAGAAATGAAGAAGGAAGAAAGGCAAAGAAAGTGAAGAGTTCACAGAATTCACTCCATGTTCTCTGAGGAATGCATGTCTTTGTTTAAACAAGTTAGGGTCAAACCTGCTGTTGTGCTGCTCCACTGTGCTGCCAAAACTCTCCTGTCTTTCACTCAGGGAATTCACCACTATTCTGGATAACAGACTTTATCCCTGAATGACCCCTGAATGCTTATCTTGCTCTTCCCCCCTCCCTTCACTAGACAACCAATGGAAAGAAGCACTTGGTAGTAGAGACAGTGGCCCATTGTTTCCAGAACTTCTGGGACTAGGATGGTGTAGTTCCCTAGACTGAGATGAACTCTGATACTTTGTTCTAGTTTAAATAGAAATTCTAGAACATCAAGCCTTGTGTGCCTTTGGTTGGTTTGTTTTGGTGATACTGGGGTTTGAATTTGGGGTCTCATAGTGGTAGTCAAGCAGCTCTACCACTTGAGCTATGCTTCCAACCCTGCTTTTTGCTAGTTACTTTAAAGGTGGAATATAGTGAATTTTACTGCCTAAGCTGGCATCGAACTGCAATTGTCTAGATCGAGTCTCTTGAGTATAGGATTATAAGTGTGAGCCACCAGACTCTGGTTTCCATATACCTTTTTTTCCTATCATAGGGGAGTCCAGAAAGGACAGACGCTTCTTGCTAAGGGAATGGCCAGTCTGGCAACCAGATGAAGTAAACAGGCCAGTTTTTATTATTTTTCTTGGAGCCACATTGATAGCTCATGGTGAACCACAATTACTACAATTTGTTTTGCTTTACTTAGGTTATAAAAGGACAGGTTAATCTTTGAGTGGGGGCATAGGAACAGAACAAGCCAGCATGATTACGAATAAATGTATCAAGCAGTGATTATCTGCAAGGAAATACCTCTTTACGAAAGGGCTGGTGGCCATGGCACAATTTGCTTATGAATGATAGTCCCAGTACATGAATCCCATCTGCTCTGGGAGAGACATAAACTGTGACATGACCATGTCACAGCTATACGAGTGGTGGGGTCTCCCCATAGCATCCATCCAACTAGACAGGATCCAGACAGAAGCAGAGGACAGGGATGGACAGTGAGACAGGAGACCACTGTCATCCTCAGCCTCTGGGGTGATCCTTACTTTTTCTTCATACTGGGAAAACTCAAAACCAGGTTAACTGAACTTAGATATCCTAAATCCAATGTTTGGCACTAGGCTGAAAAATAACCTCATATTGTTCCTCTTTGAAACAGGATAAAATCTCTATCAGGTCATTTCAGTAGACATTCTTTGTATACTTCTGCTCTGGAACAGAAATCCAAACTCTTTGCCAAATCCCCCCTAGAGCTTCTCCTTGCTGAGTGGTTGGTGATAAATCTGCGTGCCTCTCACTGTCTGACAGCCCAGAGCCACCAATTCCATTGCAGAGGTCAGATCATAGCATCCCCTTTGACTGTGATTACGCATATATGTGTGTATATTATATTACATATGTTTATAATATATATATATGTTAAAGGTGACGAATGGGGGCTTACAGTTACACAAGTTACACTGTTACCCCCTTCCTCATTTTCTCCCTATTTCCCCTCCCCATTTCCCTTGTCATTAAGCATCTTAACCAAAAGGAATATCTTTGAATTGTTTCTAACATTGGAAAATTCCTATGCAAGGTGATTCAAGATTGTGGAACCTGAAACTCACACAATTTGGGAAGATCACTTTAAGAAAAAGAGCACAAAATAAAGCTTGAAAGTTGGAATTAATTTTAAATAAGAAAGAGAAGTTAACCGTATCTCTTAGCTCATGCTTGTAATCTTAGCTACTCAGGAGGCTGAAATCTGAGGATCATGGTTTGAAGCCAGCCCAGGCAGGAAAGTCTGTGAGACTCTTATCTCCAATTAACTACCAGAAAACCAGAAGTGGAGTGTGGCTCAAGTGGTAGGGCACTAGCCTTGAGTACAAAAGCTAAGAGACTGAACCCACATCTTGAGTTCAAGCCCATTTTGAGTTTAAGCCTGAGGTTTGGCACAACCCACCACCAAGCTTTAAAAACATAAATATAACATATATCACGAAATCTAGAAAAATAACTTTTATTTAATTAGCTGTCTGGCATATCTCTGACTCTTTCCTCTACAGCTATATATTCTTTGCCTTTTCATATAACAATAATTTTGTTATAACCTATAGGAAAATTTAAAATGTCATTTCTCTAGTTAATTTGACTGAAATTTTGTTTTTACTGTTGGTGAATTATTATTTCTGTTCAGTTTTTCAACTAATTATTGATATGTCTAAATTTTAGAGATGGTCATATTGGGGAAATTAGTTTACTTCATGTATACAAGATGTAAGACTTAGAAGGATTTTCTGCAGACCATTTGTGCACATTTCAAACATATTGTTCCTACAACAGTTGATACTATCTGGGTAAGAAACATTGGCCGCATTAATATTGTGTGGCAGGACATTTGTGTTGGATCTTCATGTACCTTCAGTGAGTAAATTGGCATAGCCAGCTGAGGGATCTGGAGGATTGCAGTTAGTTCTTGATCAGCCCAGATGGAAAAATTCACTAGATTCCATCTACAAACAGCTACTAGAGGGCTGAAAGCAAGTGTGAGAGCTGCTTGGCTAGCAAGCTTAAGGTCCTGAGTTCAACCCTATTACCACCAAAAACCAACCGACCAAACAAACAAACAAAAACCAGGCACATGGAAGCCTTTAAAAGTCTCTGGGACTTGATGTCCTGGGATTTCTGTTTCAGTGAGACACAAAATATCACGGTCCAGTCCAGTCCAGGGAGCTGTATCATGGTGAACTTGGCAGTTCTGGCAACAATGTGCCTCTGTCTCAACCAAAAATAATTCTTTCAGTTGGCTGTCTGGGAGGGGGGCTGTTATCCAGAATAATGGTGCATTTCCCAGATGAAAATGGCAGGAGGAGTTCTGTTTGTTTGTTTCGGTTTAATTTTTTGCAGCACATTGGCATAGCACAACAGCAGGTTTGAGCCCAGCTTGCTTCAACAACGACATGTATTCCCCAAAGAACATAGAGTAGATTCTGTGAGATCTTTACTTTCTTTGCCTTTCTTCCTGCTTCATGTCTGGGTAGAATGAGCTTGAAGGATCAGTAAAATATTATGGTCATGGGTGCACACAGGCATGTGCTGCTGCCTTAGTGAAGAAATAGTCCCATCGTTGATACTGGCTGGAAGTGAACCTTGAATGTATGTGTTGAGAAAGCAGCTACATTTCAGAGAAAGACTGCTTTAGTCTGGGTGCACCCCACAAATCCTTACCTAATCAGCTGCAGAGAGGAAAATCAAAAGCTTCTTGGGCCTAAGGTAGCCTGGAACTCTTCATAACCCAGGCTGATGGGAGAGTAGGTAGAGCCAGTGGTTTATATTAATTGTGCATTGAAGTTATATTACTTGCTTAGAGATTTAACCAGTATAAGATGAATCCAACTGGAAATTTATTTTTCATACATGAGTACTAATTTTAGTAAACTATTAGATTCCTTTCCTCTGCTATTCTTTCTTTTATCTAAAAATACCAAGATACAAAATATAATGAACCTCATATAAGCAATCTTCTCTCCAAAATAAAAGTAAATTACTTACTACTTTGTTTTCTTATATTGTAGTGGACTATTCTAGAGGGGTTAGTCAGAAAAGTGCATTTCACATTTGTGACAATTAAGATTTAAGA